ATAAACTAGTTATCACCAATAATGAGACAAACATCATGTACTTTAAGAAAATCAGCATTACAAGCTCCCTGATAATATTTTTGTGTCCAAAAATACAAAACTTCAATTTGATCACAAGGAAATATCAAACAAACCCAAATAACTGACGATACTCTCTTCCAAGTCTCAATATATGAAAGTCAGAGACTAAGAAATTGTAGTTTAAAAAAAACTAAAGAAACAAAACAATCTAATACAACATATAATCCTGGATTAGATTCTGCACCAGAAAAACAGAGAGACAACTGAAAGTATTTGCTTACTTTGATCATTCTATTATGGTAGTAGAATATATGAACATTTAGAGAAACAAGCAAAAGTTATAGAAAAGTTTATTAAACATTTGCAAAAAAAAAAAAGTTTATTAAACCATTTAAGCATGAAATTATTTCCAAAAAGAGTTTTAAGAGACTAGGGTTTAGCTCAGTGGTAGAATGCTTGTCTAATAAGCAAGAGGCCCTGAGTTCATTCCTCAGCACCAAAAAATTAAAAAGCTTTACAAAAAAAAAAAAAAAAAAAAAAAACAATTTGCCCTTCATGTGCCATGAGGCCCATGGAAGGAAACACAGGAAGCCAATTCACCCTTCCTGTGAGCTGGAAGAAGCCATGTGGGGCCTAGGAGGAAACACAAAAAGCCAATTCACCCTCCCCATGAGCCAACCAGTGCACAGGCTGGGCAACAAGACGCCCTGCCACCCATAAGCAATGGGCTGATTCAGAGGAACACACACTGACCTGATAGCAACTGATACAAAAACAAATTAGCGCTAGTATTGTTTCACTGACTTTGCAAGCCTAAAGCTGGTAGTCTGAGTATCTATTAAGAGAATGACAATATGTAATACAGCAACTATGGGAGGTTTTCTTCCGTCTTGTTTTTGAAATCCAATATTGTTCTCACTGTTTTGTTTGGTTCCATTTTGTTGTTTTGTTTCACTCAATGTACTATTTTAATCAGTTTTATTCTGTTTTGTTTGGTTTGATTTTATTATGTCTGATATGGGCAGCAATTTTGAAGATAGCAAGAGGCATCATAGTAGCCATTGTTGATTTCCTATTATCCTGTTTTGAAGTCCTCTATCACTTCCACTGTTTTTGATTGGTTTTGTTTAATTTTATTCTCTTTAAAATAAAATTTAAAAATAAAAGGCACAGTTTTAAGTGAAAAGTCAAGCAAAGTGGAAGAGACCATTGCAATACAAATCCAACAAAAGTTCATATCCAAAATAAAAAAACACCTAATCATTAAGAAAAAACTGGCCTTTCACAAGGCATCCAATAAATACGAAAAGGTGCTCAAAATCAGAGAGATAAAAAAAACTACTTGTAAATATGGCTAAAATGAAAATAACTGACAAAACTGTTAATGAAGATGTAGAACAATTAGTACTGGCACTGTAAATTTAAAAGACTACACTGAAAAATCATGTGGCAATATCTACTAAAGTTTTTTAACTCGTGGGTGGTGGTATTTGTATTCATTCAACCAACAGAAATGAGTTCTTAAGTCCATTCACTAAAAGATATGTACATTCTTTGTATACCAAAGAATGGTGAACACATTCACTCTTATGAATGTCCAAAGCAGCTTTACTCATCACAGCTTAAAAATATAAATACATCAACAGCAGAATGAGTAAACGAAGTGCGTGTTCTCAGACACAATGTTGACGTAAAAGACAAAAACATGGACAGTTCCATCTGCATTGGGCCAATCAATACATAATTATACAAATTAGAATTATTGGTATCCTAGGGAGGAGCATACTGACAAGAAAGCAATAATGCAGTCTTTTGTGGCACTGAGAATGTTCTGTATCTTTTGTTTGTTTTGTAGTACTGCAGTCTGAAGTACTACAGAACAACGAGCAACATCCTTCACACATCCCTATGCTTCAACCTTCACAATGAGCAACATCCCTATGCTTTTTAAGTTATAAATTTTTTAAATTTTTAAACAAGTTCTCATTAAGTTGTTCAAACTGGGATCCTGACTGTAAATCTCCTGATCCCAGAGTGCTGGGATACAGATTCGCACCAAACACAAATGTTAGGTTCTATATCTTGGTGTGGCCATTGGTTACATAGTGTGTTTATTTGCAAAAATCTGTATGAACAATTATGGTTTGTACATTTTACTGTATGTAAGGTATATCTCAATTAAATAAAAGGTTTAAAAAAAAAAAAAGAAAAGATAACAAATGCCCTGACAGTCTACTTAAGAAATGAATGGAAATGAAGACACACAGAAAACAGTTCAGAGATTTTTATGTTCCAGGTTTAGTATCCTGAGGGAGAAAAATGCAATGACATATTTCTCAACTCTATGGTTTAAATACCTCAGTACAAAGTACCACTGTCCAAGACACTAAGGCAAGAGGAACTAAGTTCAATTTTGGACATGCTAGTGGAGACACTTAGTGGAGACAGGGCAACTGGATATATGAATTTAAATCTCAGATAACCTGAGGACGATGTGTAAATTTAGAAAACAGACACGGGTCTATGCAATAGAAATACAACAACATAATCCATGCCTTGATGGACTTTAAATTCTAATGAGTAGGTATCAGCTTATTATTCAATTGCATAATGTACATAAAGAGGTTGGCATATAGTATTCAATAAATAGCAGATCTGCTTTAAGTATGATCTCTTAGTTTTTAGGTAATTAGCTTTATGCATACTAACACACAAGCCTTCTAATTCACTAGCTCTCTAAATATCTAGAGATTCTTTAGATTTCATATCCTTATTTTAGAATTGCAGCCAATCTTTATAACACACTTCTATCTCCAAACCTATTTCTTGTGGAGAATACCTATCCAGAGGTAGACAATTTCAATCAGACCCCCTTGCTCGGAATCTGAATCACTGGAAATGCAGTAGGAGATGAGAATCACCGGAAGTTCAGCAATTCATGGGGCTGAACTCCAAATGGTCCACAGAACCAAGATCCCTGCCTGTACAACCTGATTCCTGTTCGTCCTAAGGTCTCGCTGTTCAGCACCTTCAACTCTATTCTTTCTGTAAGCCTCTTCTGTTTGTTTAAAACAGCCAGAATTTGTATTTTTTATAAAGAATCCCACCTGATAGGAAGAGAAAGGTCATTCTACAAGGGATTTTACTATCAAACACAACTGTCAAAACTCAACAAATTGTACTTTTAAAATAAGTAAATTTACACACGAGGCCTGAGTTCTGTCCCCAACAGCCTCCTGCCCAAAACAGAATGAATTTTATTGTTTGTAAAACATACCACAATAAAACTGGATAAGTATTTGACAGTTAAAAAAGCACAATTATACTGAATAACTTTTCATATACACTGTGTTTACATGTGTATTTTCACATATACTGATTTTTATTATATACTCTATGGCTAAAAAGCTTATTCAGAAAACACTTAAGATGGTCCACGTTAGTACATTTAAAGTGAAGCTACACTGACTGCAGAGATTCCAAAACACAAAAAGTATGTTAGTATATACAATCTGTATCTTCCTTACCAGTGCAACAAGGTAAAATAAAACTCACAATAAACCTCATGACTACATTTTGCCTTCAAATTTACTGGTATCACTCTGTAGAACTCTGCTTCACTGTTTTGCTTAAACTTCTAGTCTTTAGTTTACTTTGCAAGCACACTGTATCACAGCAAGAAACTCTTTCAAAAGGCAAACCTCTTCAGCTCCAGGAAAGATTAAAATTAGAACAAACACAATTATTCTTATTTTACATTACAAGAATTTAAGGTACTGTGCTCTACCCACTGAGCAATTTCTATGACGAGGGTTCCAAGGAACATGTGGAAGAACATGCCTATCCTGCTCGCCACAATATAAAAGCCCACAGCACATCCCCAAATCTCGATCACTTTCATAAACCATGTTGAATATGTTACGTTAACCAGTTTGGAGACAGTTTATATATAAAGGTTAGTAAAAGGTACATAATGGGTAAATATTCTGCATACATTTAACATATAGGTGTGAAAGATAAACTTTGTATGCATTGCTTATCACTGTCTTATCTGCAAATATATGGTTTTTTGGTTTTGGAGTGTTTTGGGGTTTTTTTGCATTTCAGTCCAGCACATCATGTATGCTAGGTGTGTACTCATCGAGTCATATCCCAGCCCTTTCTATTTTTTATTTTGAGACAAAGGTTCACTAAGTTATCCAGGCTGGCCCTGAAAATTCTATCCTCCTGCCAGGGCCTCCTGAGTACTTTACCTGAGATTACAGGTTTGCATCACCAAGTCAAGCTCACTTTAATTTTTAAAACATTACAAAATTCAACCCTTTGCTCACATAAACGCCCAAATTTAGATACTTAGTAACAGGAACCCTTTACTTAGCAACCTCCAATTTATATTCAAAGTTGTCACTTGCTTCCTCAGTAAAAATTCACCCTGATCTCTGATCCTCCACGATTTAATCAAACACATAATGTGACTTTAAAAACTATTTTCTGGGGCTGGGGATTTAGCTCAGCGGCATAAGCGCCTGCCTTGCAAGCAGGCAGTCGTGAGTTCGATCCCCGTACCGATAAAAAAGAAAACTATTTCCTAAAGTACCCACTGTATGACCTTTGATAGTCGTTGTAGATAATAAGTACAACACACAGCTAGCTGGCACTGAAATTAATTTTAAATTACCCCCAATCTAATAATGCAATACTGTATGTCTCCTAATAGTGATTCAAACAAATATAGTTAATCTGGTTCATTGATATTTTTAATTCTGAGTTTAGCAAAAACAAAGAATATAAGTAATCCAAGTGTCAATATACTATAGGCGCAAAACTGTATCACATCTAAACCCGTCAACCTTTGCAACATTGTATTCTAGTTCCTTCTCTTCAACTTAAATTTTAATCACCTCATGAGCTTCTACTTCTAGAACATGATCTAAAATATTTGCAAAATGAAAATAAGAAAAGCTCCAATATTCACCTACCCAACATTTGGCAATCCAACAATACCAATTTTCAGTGACGTTCCAAATCTTCCAATGATTGGGGGTGGTTTAATTCCATCACCTCCCTTTTTGGGGGGCATCTGAAATGTCAGACAAACACACAGAATCTTTTACTATCCCTCTGGACAGAAACACATTTCAACGAGAATAAAACATACTGCATTTATCAATTTAATACTACCAGCTAAATCTGCTGAAAAAAAAAAAAAAGTAGTTCGGTAAACAAATCAGCGTCACAGTAGTCACTCCCAAGATGTTTTGGAAAAATTGATTTTAAAATATGTGGCACCAGGTATCAAACATAAAATGTGGCTCCAATCTTCCATCCAGATCACTTATAAAACACTTTTATTTCTTAATCTGTCGTAGGGTTACATGAATGAAGGCCTTTGAAAACAGGTGCAGATGCGAGTCAAAGAAAAACCTATCTTACTCCCCAGCCAGCAAGTCACCTTTCATCAAACCATTATTATCTGGAAACTGTTCTTCCCTATTCCCCTACCACTTCCATTTTTCACATGGATGAACCAACGACTAGGGGTATCTGGGTCTTTCCAACGAAGTCCCTCCATTTTTGGCCCTGCAGGTAAAGTTTATCAATCCTCATAAATAAACTTCATAGTCTATACTCTGGTTACGTCTAATCATAAATAAATCCACTCAACTCTCTAACCCTGGTGCTCGCGATGGAACCCAGGGCCCCATACATGCTTCGGGCAAGTGCTGTTCCACGGAGCCTATCCCCAGCCCAAACGTACTGAACTCTCATTTACAAGCCAAAACTTTCTCTGCCCCTTGCAGTTCTGGCTTCAATTTCCACCGAGCAGAATTCATCCCACTTTATTACTGCATATTCAATTCACGATGACTGCTAAGCTATCTTAAAAGCTCGGAACCAAAACTGTCGCGTCTTCTGGCTCAGTAGTACCTCCTAGGGCCACGCCACGGCTCTGCTCCTGAAGGGACTGCCTAACCTCGGATTCCAGACCTTGACAACCTCACTTTATCCCTGAGCCAAGGATCTCCTTCTCAGGGTCCTGACACCAGTTCCGGGCTGAAGTCCAGGCCTCCAAAGAACAGCTGCATGAGCAGAGCCTGTCCAGTTCTCCGGCCCACGGCATAGTATTCCACCGCCCGGCCAAGCAAGCGGACCCTGGCCGGACACACTCCCACCGGCTGGGCCCCTAGTCGCCCCGGATCAGGAGAGGATGTCCCGGGACGTGCCAGGACCACGCGCTAGCCGCACTTGGGGCCCGCGGCCTAGTCCGCCGCGCCTCATTCATCCTCACACCCACGCCGCCCAGCACCTGCCTCAACCGGGCCGCGGGGCCCGAGCCGCCAAGGATCAGGTCCCAGAGCGACGCGCCCGGGGGCGGCAGCTCACGCAAGTTGCGCACCCGCGGCTTCCCTGTGGGCCTCACCGTGGACTAGGAGGAGGCCGACACGGGGTCCGAGGGAGCGGGAGATGAGTCCTGCCGGCAGCGGGAGGCGGGGAGCAAGGCGGGGAGAGCGCAGGCCCGGCCCCTCCGCCGAGCGGCACGCACGACGGCGGCGGGGGCGGAACGGGCGGGTCGGGCGGCACCTGCGTGAAGGCAGCGAGTCCCGCCCCCGCCGCAGGCCCCGCCCATTGGCTGGTCAGGGGCGGGGCGGGGCGTGGGCGGGGCAATGGGCGTGGATGTGAACCTGGCGGGAGGGTGGCGTCTACCAGTTTGCTGGACGCCGCGGGAGCGCGCGTCTCCTGCAGTCTCGGTACGTGACCTCCGGAGCCTACGGCTCCCCTTCCGCATGTCAGCGCGTCCCTCCGGGTCTCCGCGACCCGTGCTGTCCGCCAGCTGGCTGCGGCCCCCAGCTCCACGCGCCTGACCCGCGGCGCTCTCGCCCGGTGTGCCTGCCCCAGCCCGGGGCGCCTGAGGTCAGCGCTGCGCCGCGCCAGGTTTGGAACCCGTGGCCGGCAGCCCGAGCAAGGGCCTCAGCCCGCCTTCCTTTTCCTGTAACTTTCTTCAGGCCGTCCAGACAGTGAGAAGCTACTCAACTTTCTAAAGGGAAAAAACCGAAAGGCTAAGAGAAGCTTGTGATGTATGGATTCCCTCTTCCCCTTCCAGATCGGGGATCTCCCCTTGGCACTGCTCGCGGGATGCATTTAAAGGGCCCGTCCTTTCCCTCACTGGCCCACACATCCTTGTGCTCAGGCTAGTTAAAAGGGGTTTTGAACTTTATGAAGCATCATGTCCAATATGGATTCCCACTGTTCGTCCCCGGTGTGATCTTGGACGATTCACCGTCTCCATTTTTAGTTATCCTGGGTAAAACGAGGCCACTGAGGTCCATGTTAGGTCAGTGTGGGGATGGAGTGAGATTTAACTGTGTACCCAAGCACCAGTCAGAAAAGCTCATAAGACTATTGTTAAAAATGAATTTTTATCTAGTCTCACCCGCACCTGACTATAGTGGAGCTCTCCTGGAAGGATTCTTTCACTTAGGTCCCCTCAGTGGGCATTCAAATATTTGTTGCACTGAATGTGAACTCTGTGCAAAATTATAATACTAGAAGCCTTCTTCAAAGATAGTGGTTGCTAATAAAGGATGCAAATTGGTTGCTATCCCCAGAGTATGGATGAGGGAACAATATCAAAAAGGTTAACTGACTTGGAAAAAGTCACACAACTAGGAATTTCAGAAGCCAGAACTCAAACTGCAATCTGAAAAATCTGGTTTTTTTTCTGCCAGAATTCTTTTGACTAGGGTTTCCAAGTAAGCAGCAACTGAACCACTTTTTACAGTAAAATTGCATTAAGGTTTTTCCTTCACCCTTGGAGAGTGATCTTCTGTGATGCCTTAAAGATCTCTTTCTGTACTTTTGAAAATTCTCAAGGACACAGGCAACTTGATTTGATTTTGGTTTTTTTATTTTTCTGAATTTCATAAATGTGCACTGTTTTATACTCTTAATACTCAGCTATAACTATGTATTTAATAGTTGACCAGCGCAGCCCCAATGAAACAGGAGACAGGAGTCGCTTTTGTGGATGACAGTTAACTGCTGGTTTATTTACGTGGGCTCTGGTTTATATATTTGGCCGTGACCAATCACAGGCTGCCACGAGGAAGCAGGGCGGGAATGGGACGCAGGCTCCAGCTACCATATCCAGCTGTGGCCAATCAGGAGTTGCCACAGAGTAGGAGTGAGCACAGAAATGCGCAGGGTTGGCTAATTTAAAGAGGGACGTCCTTTAGCGCATTGCGGAAGCTGGCGTGGTCCTTAGTCCCGGGTGGGGTATGGTATGTTGAGCGCCTGCGCCCAACAAATAGTTATCAAATCACATGAATTATGATAAAAGTGGGACATTAGCCCCCATTTTGTAGCCACCCTTAATATACAATAACTTAGGAATAGCCTTAACAAAGTAATTCCTAAATTACTGCTGATTTAGTAGTGAAGTTCATTTTATTTTATTTTATTTTATTTTATTTTATTTTGTGTTTTTGGTACGAGAAATTGAACTCTTGCCAGGCAGGTACTGTGCCACTGAGCTAAATCCCTGGCCCATGGTGAGCTATATGCCTGGCTCCTGTGAAGTTCTATAGTTGGGTTCACACTGCAGCTGATGGAAGTGGAGAGGAACCATTACTTAAATTCAAGAATTCCAAAGAGCCCCTCTGCCCAGCAACAGCCACTCCAGTATTAATTGAAAATGTTCCTTTTGTGAGGTAGTGGAATCATCTTCAACTTATCACTCTCTTTTGGCCATATCTAGCTACTTCTTTGATCTCAGTATCTCTCACATCTACCCATTCCCTTAAATTCACACTGTCAAGTTCTCAAGTCAATTACATGTTTCTTGCTACAGCTATATCTTTCTGACACTTCTGACCACATTTAAAGTGCCTTGCCAAAGAGGGTCACACAGATCTTAAAGAGCTAGGCAGTTTCAGAAGAGGCAGATTTCTGCCACTATCTGTTTAGTGACAACAGAACTCCATTTTGAAATTACAATTATTGGATAAGACAGAGCAATTTATATTCCCAAGAAAGATCTAATTAACTATATTAGGAAAAGTTTTTCCAGGTGTTCAGTTAGCCATGGCGAGGAAGATAGGGGGTCATATAATTGAAACATCCATGCAAATGACCTCTCTACTAATAAACCAGGCAGTTTACCAGAAATCCTGGTAAGTATCTGCTATTCTATGTGATGAAAGAAGTTCAATGAAACAAAAAGGATAATAAGAATTAAATATAGTGTTTGAGTAACTGAAGTCACTAACTGGAGTGACTTTGAATATAGGAAAGCTTGTCCTTCAGCCTTTTTTCACAAAATGAAGTCTTTGGTACCTGTTGGGCTTGATGAATTCTTTTTATTTAAGACAGTGTCTTTCGTGTGGCCTGGGCTGGTCTCAAACTCATGAGCCCAACTGATCCTCCTACTTCAGTCTCCTGACTAGCTAAAACTACAGGCATGTGCCAGCGTGCCCATCTGGACTCAGGGATTTAATGAAAATTAAAGGGAAAGCATCAGAAATGATCTGGAATAGAAACTAAGCAAGATTTCTGTCACAGAAGAAATGAGACTAAAGGGCCAAGGATTTAGCTCAGCGTCATAAGTACCTGCCTGGAAAGTACAAGATCCTGAGTTTGATCCCGGTACCAAAAAAAAAAGAGAGAGAGAGAGAAAGAAAGAAATGAGAATAGAATATTGGATCAAGTCAACACAAAATCATACATAAAGACCAATGGGATGAACAAAAGTAGACTACAGAGCCTGTTTTTGTGCTGGATTTTTTTTTTCCGCATTTGTTATTGGTTAGATCTTAAGTATGTCCCAAAGGTCCTGGTGAGAGAACCCCCCCGCAAAGGTATTTTTGGGAGTAGGGGAGGCTCTTTAGATGCAGAGCCTAGTGAGAAGTCTAGGTCATTATGGGTGTGTCCTTGAAGCACACAGAGGTACTTTAGTCTTTTTTCCTCTGGCTTCCTGGCCAACCTTGCCACAGGCCCAAAAAAACAGAGTACAGAATAGACTTACATACCTACAACCATGAGCCAAAATCAGCATTTTCTCTTTATTAGTTGACTGTCTCAAGTATTTGCCTTAGAAATAGAAAGCTAACTTACTAGGTGTTAGCCAGTGAACAGGATCAAGTAAGTTGGCAGGATCTACAGAGTAGTTTGGGGTTAGTAACCCCCCCCCCATACAGACTAACTCAGAAGATTGGAGGTGTTAAGGATCAAGAAATAGAATATACAGAAAAAGAAGGTGAGAAACAAAAGAGACAAGTAGAAGCAACAATATGTTCACCATGTACCTAAGGCATTTAACTACACCTTATTAGCCTTTTTTTGTAAATGTTATTTAAGGAGAAAAAAGAAAAAAAAAACAGAAAAAGGGTACAAGTTATACAGAATTTCAGAAAAAATAAACAGTAGGAAATCACTAGTTAATAGATTACATATTGTCATCTTAGAAATAGTTGTTCAAGTTACAAAATTAAAGCATATAAAGTGGACATTCAAACAGTGAGACTGCAAACAGTTCTGTTCAATGATCCAACAAAACTCAGTAATATCATTGTCTATCTTATACACTTAAATATACACGCAGTTATGTCCTTTAGAGCACTTTCTTTTCCTCTCTTTTGTACAAGGACAATTACACATTTTGGGTTTTATTACTCCCACTGTTCTTATTACTTTTTTTTGAAGAGAGTAAAACCAAATGTGACATAACAGAACAGAGTCAGTCAAATCAAAAGGATGGACATAATAGATAATGTAAAAACAAAATACAAGGTGATCATCATTGGTTACCATACTGCCTCTTGTTATCTTAAAAAGAATTGTCTTTATCATCAGTTATAATAAAATTGAACAAAACAGTAAAGAACAAAACCAATAAAACCAAAACATTGGAGACATTAGAGGACTTCGAAAGAAGATAATAGTCAAACCAGAATGGGTGTCATAATCAGTCTTATTGTCTTCACAGTTGTTGCCTATACTCTCAAACTTGGTAGTATCAAGCAAAACAGAATAGAAGAAAATCACTCAAAACAAGATGGTGAGAGCAATACAGGGCTTCAAATCAAGTTAATAGGAAATCAAAGTGGGTTACTATAATATATCCTGCTACTTTTAAAATTTTTCCTTTAATTAAAAAGATAAAAAAGTAAATAATAAAAAAAGAGATTGAGATACAAGAGGACATAACAACAAAACAGCACAGGTCAAAACATATCCATTTAAGCAAAATAGTGTTTCACCACCAGATATCCCGACATAATAGTAGTTACCATAGTGTCTCTTTCTTTGAAATCTCTGAGTATAACTTCATATACTGTAGCATCAAACATATCAAGATAATGTAAAACCATTCAAGAGAATGACAGTACTATAGGGTATTTAGAATCAATTAACAGAATATAAACAATGGTTTCTGTATAATCTCCTTGTCTATAAAAGTTTTTGTTTATATTATCACATATAATAAAATCCAATAAGATACAACATGTTAAGACTGATGGAGACAGAAGAACAAAAGCTTGATGGGACTTCAAAACAAGATGATATTAAATCAGCACTAGCTATTATGATGTCTTTTCTCCAAA